AGTAGCCTCAGATCAGATCGTCAAGAGACGAAATGGATCAAACTCTGACAAACTCACCGAGACCTGTCCCTACCGTTCAGATCTCTGACACGACTGTTCCGTTGGAAGCTCAGGCTCCAGCCCTACTGGATAACACGGGACCGTCGTCACGACGACAGATCCCAACACGGCTCCGCAATCTGACCAGATTCAGAGCACAACCGTAGAGCCTACGCCTCTGAACCGACTCCGCGCTGACGCAGAACAGTCAGACCCAAGGACCATGAGCCCTCCTGATGCGCTAGGAACCGCACCATCGGTGGTAACACCAATCGAGGCAGCGAGGCCTACTCCTTTAACCTCGACTCCCAATATTCTCGCCCGTCCGGATCAACAGGTCCCGACCCCGAGCGCGGCTGCGGGGGCAGGCCCGTCGAATCTCAGCTCAGCTGAAACGGATCACTCGAACCTGAGAGTTTGGATAAGACCGATTGCCTCAGGAACAGGACCAACCATAGCACCTGCTCACGGTTCGAGGGGAAGTGGACCACAACTTCCCCCTCCGCCCCCTCGAACAGGCGCACCGATTACGCTACGATCTGAATCTATCAGATTCAACACCACAGCGGATCCAGCCCGACCTGACCAAACAGACACAACAGAAATTCGCAACATCCTGGATTCTCAGATTGACATTACCAGGAGACAGGAAAGCTTCACACGTAATATCGCTGCTCGAATGGATCAGCAGCAAGCTGATTTTGCTTCGCAAATTTCAGAACTGACTAGGCCCAACGGACAACGATCTGAAAATGGGGAGAGACGCTACCTGCTGCCATCTACGGCATGCAGCCCCTCCTCGAAAAGCCCTGGACTTCTCCACTATCCATGTATCACCGAGGATCGCCGGCCGTTCAGTATGCACCCCCATCGAGATGAAACACCCTATTTTTACACCTCTGAGCACTACAAAGGGAATTCCAGCCGAGCGCCCCAACTCCACCTCTACCGAATCTCGAAAGGGCAAGGACGGTGCGCTTCCACCCAGTGGCCATCTCTTCACCCCCCTCGGGAGGAGAAACTCCACATCAGGGCACAAGTACACCACCAAGCTCGTATGCACCTGCTAGGTCCCCCCAGCGGACAGAGCAAGTAAACCGTGAGCTTGAAGAGGATCTTGACGGTAATGACCCGTGTCATGGCTTAGAATGGCCAAGGCAAAGCCTCTAGAAAAAGACGGATCAATTCGGACCGTTTGATCCAAAATCCGTCTTAAGCACCACAGTGACTAAGCTGTGTGCGTAGTTGCTTGATGACTAAGCAGCTTACCCGGTGACTAAGTAGTGGTGCCTGTCTGGTTTATGAGTCACCTGTCTTTTACCCTTTGCCGAAGGAACGTCCAAGTAGGGCGTGCCTCTGTTAGAAAACTTTACCCATGGCCGAAAACTCCTAAGCAGAAGGTGTCTTTGTCCTGTCCCCGCCTTGTCGTTTGTGAGACCTTGTCACCAACACATGTCGCGGTGAGAATAGTCTCGGTGAAACGGCTATGGCCAAGTGCCCAGCTACTTCACCAGCCTGTTCCCTTGCTTATCTGAGCCTATAAATAGGCCGAGCCGATCCATCAAGTAGGTCACACGTTGACCGTAAAGAAATCTCACTGCAAAATTTCACCGCATCAAAAACTCAGTTATGAGATCCTTCTGTTCCAATTCTCTCGACCCATTCAGTCCGTATCATCCCATCGTGGTCCAATCAGTCTGAAATCCGAACTCTAGTCCACAGCAAATCAGTCCGTGAAAACCTAGGGTAAGCGTTCTAAGTATAAGTTCGCTTTTATCGTGTCGTTTACACGTTATGATGATGATTCTAACTTAAGTTTCTTGATCCGGTGGTTGGATCATCACAAACCCGTAGGTAGTTTCGGCAAAGTCCGAAAGATCTAGAGAGAGTCCGCGAGAAGTTTCTATTCGGTCCAGATTGCAGCCGAGACTAAGGCAAAACCTCAAGCACTCCCTAAGTAAAGGTGAGTCTTGGTGTTGTTGTGGCCGTAGGCAGCAAGGATGCGCTCCTGAGAAAAGTCGGACAAGGCGCGAGCTCCCTTTCATAATTGAGCAACTAGGTGGCGGAGTCGACTGTCAATAGGCTCCTTCTTCTGCTTAACTGCACCAAAAAAATAAAAGAAGATAGAGTATACGATTAGTAAACACGAAAAGATTGTGTGCTGAAGCAATACAAAACTCTAAGAACGTTGAAGCCTTTGTCATTAACGTCCATCGCCGGAACCTCATTCAGTAGGGACCCAAACGCGACTGCCAACCAAATAAGGGCTGACTCTGAAGAAAATATACTTTTCCTTCCACTTGTCATCTCTGATCAAGGCACCGTTGAGAACCCCAAGAGTCAGGCGAGGGGAAATATAGTAAGCCCCTCGTGAGACAGAGTTGGGCTTAACATCACAGATCTGGAGCAAGTCCGAGACGCTCAGGGCAACCCCCTCTTCTCGCGCGAGCACCGTGAGCCCTACGATGTGCCGGACAAAATTTGGCATCATCTGAGGGAAGGAAAGTCCTAGGTGGTCCAGAACCTCGAACATAATGGAGGGGATAGGAAAAGTCAGTCCGCAGCTGGTGAAGTAGTGCATGAAGACGCAACAGAAGTCTGGTCGCACGATTTTCGGTGATTAATCGGGATCGGGAAGGATCAGGTTGACCTCGTCGGGAAATCCGTACTTCGCTTTCAAATCCAGAATGTTCTGAACCGACAAAGCAGACGGGGCATGCGGTCCGAATTTCTCGACGGAAGCAGAAATTGAACCGCCATCACAGCCGCGCCAGGTTTTCCTTGGTGCCGCTGGGTCGACGGGGGTGGTAGTCGAGGCGCCATCGCCGCCGTGCCTGGTTCTCTTTGGTGTCGCCAGGGATTTGGATGCCATCTCAGGAAGTCGAAGGGTTGTGCGAGCTTGAGGGGGTCGAAGTAAAAAAAAAAAAGAAGCTTCGGACTCGAAAGCAAGGTAGATGCATTTCGATAGCAAGAAAAGAGATCAATCTGATTTCTTTGAGATAAACAGAGTTGGGGGAGAAAGCATAAAAGAAAAACAAAAAGCCACAAATATGAACATAAAAGAAGAGAGAAAGATGTTATTTACCTCGGTAGTGGGGAATCGAAAAGTCGGTTTAGTGGAGAGGAAGTTGAAGCATTTATAGAAGCAATAATGTTTCACTTAAAAAGATCGACCTGAACCGTTCGAATCAAGTGGGTATAACTGCGAATCTCGCTGAGATATCTTCTAGAGCTTATCGAGTTTTTATTCGAAATGATCCGGAAGCCGGCCTGAAAAGATCTCGCCCTTCAAGCTTCATACATATCGCTTAAAGGGCTGGGGGGTAATTGTTGGGGTTGTATTTTGCACCCCAAAATACGGCCCAAAGAAAGCCCATTACAATAAGGCCGACATGTCTATTCAACCAAAAGGCCTAGTTAGCGTGTTGAGGAGCCGGGTCTGATAAAGTAGTTAGCGGATACGAACGCGAGCTCAACAACAGGGAGGAGATCGTGGATATCGCGCAGAATCAGCCCAACCGGAAATCTCGGAGCACACGCTGGAGAACGGGGATCGTGAGAAGAATATGCTACGCAATTTCCGGAGCGGTTACACCCGACTAGGTGTCTATATAAACAGGAGGAAAGGCATCTTCGAGGACCAAGTCCAATCCAATCAGAATTCAATAGACAAATCACCTAGAGTTAAAACTCGCAAACTGAATCCCGCTGATCTTATTTATTGATCCTTCCAAATCGTTTGTATTAATCGTGTTTTTCAATCATATTAATACAAATCCGTTTCGTTATTCTAGATTTATGTTCATCTAAAGTTCATACGAAGATCTAGGCTTAAATTCCCCTTTATTAATATAAAAATCTTGTTTGTGGGTTTTCAGATCCACATTATGTAATATTTTAAAATATTAAAATGTTATATTTTAGTTAGATATAAATTTGTAACACATGTATTTGTGAGTTCATGTTCAAAAATTGGGCAATTGCAAAAATGCTACTTTTGGTGTGTATATTTGCAAGAATACCACTTAGGGTGTCCATTTACAAAAATACCACTAATTATGGATTTTTAAAGTCTAAATCTTAAAATTATAAACTCTAAAAAATGTTTTGACCCCTAAAACCTTCAAAACTAAATCC